ATCAAAAGTTATCAAAACAAATTCGATGGAACTGAGAAATATTATTTACTACTTTTTAGTCCAATGAATATACATTAGGCTGGGTCGATTTTGTATGGGGGAAAATAAAAGACATTTAACCGTATTGTAATAGTAATATTATGATGTCTTAGGTCTAAGCCAATTGTTATTGGCCACGAAAGATTAATTTACAACTTATCTTTAGCCCGCGCAATTGAATTAAAGTGTAAGAATTTTCAAAATTAAACTTTGGCTTGTAATATCTATGGAATGTGTTAATTGTTCTAAACAGGACGATATATCAAATTAAGGGTTATTAAATTTAGTACCTCACGTTCATTTATCATTTTTAAATAAGTTTACAAGTTTTTAAGATATTAAGATAAAACTTACAAAAACTCNTTATCATTTTTAAATAAGTTTACAAGATATTAAGATAAAACTTACAAAAACTCTAATTTCCCTTATGAATTTTCAATTCTTCATTACTTCGGCAACCAAGTGAAAAATTCAAAAAAGTGAAACGAGATTTATTTCAAACGTTGTAATGTTTTCGAATGTTTATATTTAGATTTGGTCAGTTTTCAAGATCGTGGTGAATGAGGTCAAACATGTATTTTGAAAGATTAGGAATCGTTTGATAAGTTAATAGTAGTTTCCAGCATATATGTATTTACATACATTAACATAATACCATTAGGGTGAGGAGTTTTAAGTCCATTTATGCAGTCTTGAAAATTTTTCGCGGTTTCTAAATCTGCCGTTATATGAAAGTAGGGGATGTGCAATAAGTTTTTAGATATACATAAATATTTTAGTTAATTCCATTATGTGAAAAAGTTACTGTAGGTAAATGCAATAGTCTTTAACATATCCTGGGAAATCCTTTTGAGGACTCTCCAATTGGACGATATTGCTTTGCATTTAGCTTGAACGAAAAAAGTCACTCCCTGGCACACTTTTCTGTAATCCGATTCTATCATCTAAAAGTTATTTATACAATAGAAGATAATTTTTTTTATAAAAAACTGGAGATCCACTTAAATTTTTCGATATAACTTTGGTAAATGCTACTCGATCGGTGCGTAATAATCACCAAATTGAAGGCGATACTTAATGTTATTGATTTTTGATAATAATTTGATTAAAATCGTTCAGATTATAAACAAATTATTTTAAAATAAAAGAAATTTTGAACAAAATTTTTTGTCATTTTCTTATATTTGCAATTTTTATATTGTATGCCTAAACATTAGTAAACTAATTAGTGTTTCTAGAAGTTGTGCCTATTCAGTCTTCTCATACTTATTTGCATAAACAAAATTTTTCCACGATGATGGAAAATAATGGCTTTTCTATTAGAGTCACCGAAATTGTCCCTAAATTTGCAAAAAATCGCAAATTATAGCTAATATTAAAAAAAGATTAAAATATTTGGAACCAGCGATCTAAATGCACGCCAGCAATATTAATGCTGTTCTTTACATCTTTTGACTCTAGGCCAGTGCAGTTATCAAGGGAACAATTCTTATATTATTGAAAACAGATAACTTTGAGATTAACGATTAGCTAAAGGGCTGCGAGAAATGAAATTTGACTTTTTATTTTGGGTAAACGAATTCATTATCTAATACGTTGCAACAAAACTGTTTGCTGAACCCAGAATTTTTAACAAGAATTGATCTTATTTGACTAGGGTGCTGTGGGTCACTTGGCGGTCGATGCGCGGGCTCTTACAACTAAAATAAAACACTAATATTTTGCAGGCTTGTTGTTGACTTCATGATACAATATATTTTCACTATAACCAAGGGATTTGATAAAAATTAAATTTTCGACCCGCCCTAATATACATATTGTGTGTATATTAATGCATTAGACAATTTACGGCTAATTTGTGCGCATTTTAGGAGAAGTGGGCGTTCTGCTATATTTCATCTGTTTAATCATGTAGTACATCGGGTTAATACTGATTAAACCAGGGCTTATTAATTTATTTTAACCGTTGAATACAAAAGTTTTCATAAAATATGCTCTTATAATAAAAATGAATATGAAATATGAAAATGAACGGTTATAGATAAAAATTACAGGTTACACAGTTGAAAGAGAAAATTTCTACGTTCACCGCGGAAATAGACAAAAGTATTATCAGAAAGTTCGATTCGACATACATATAGCGATTATCATAACTCTACGACACTCACATAATGACAAGATTTCACCAGTTATCTTAATATTTTTTAATTTTAATTATTTCTTTATAATAACATGGTTTGTTTTTTAACAAAAACCTTATAAATCCAAGTTTCAATCTTGGTGCTGAATTTAAATAAAAATCAACAAACTCTCGAAAAAATTTCGAGTTTTTTGTTCAATTTTTTAGAAATATTTTAAGTATGCAGTTTTGTAGCCCATTCAATTTTAGTATAACAAGGCAAGTTCAAAGTAGCTCGGAATTACCATTGAATTTTGGGAATTATTTTGTTGAAGGTGTTGTTCCATTTGCCCATTTAAAAAAAAAAATCGTCGAAAATCCGTGGTATGAAAGAAAATGATTGACACCATCAACAAACGAAATTTCCAAGAATTAACCTTAAGTCCCAGTTACTTTAAACTTTCACTTTATTATAGTAAAATTGAACTGCCCTCTCAAAATATTTCTACAAAATCTCAATTAAAAGTTCGAAATTTTCAATAAAGTTTGTTGATTATTTCCAAGTGTTGCACAAATACCCAAACTCGGATTTATATGGTTTTTGTTAAGTAATAAACTACATTTTTATAAACAAATAATTAAAATAAAATTAAAATAAGACAAATGGTCAAATATTGTCAATATGTGAATGTCGTAAAGTTATGAAAAGGACTATACATTCATTGTATCTACATATCCATTGTTTCAATTTGTCATGTTGGCGAAGAGATTTATATGATTTCTTTTTCTATAGGGGGATTATGATTGAAGATCAAAATAAAACTCGCCCCCATTGAAAAATATTTAGATGTAGATCAAAGCGCTCAAAGTTTTCCATATATTTTAAAAAGGAAACAAAATTTCTTAAAATGGTATAGAATTATAGAAATCAATATTTTTCGATCTGAAAACTTCTTCAGGAGACTTTCAATAATAATACCCAGTTATTTATTTAACCATTTTTTGCATTACCTATTTTTTATAGGACCACTAAAAATCCCAATAAATGATAAAAAACGCAGGGGGCACACCACAAATCGGAGGAGAAGCTCGGCCAAACACTAACATACATGCGTAATCGCCAATTTGTTGTTATTATTATACCAATTCGACGTAAAATGGTTTTCCCCCATATACATATGTATGAAAATACATGGAAGATTTTGGGCGCTGTGAGCGACCTTTAAATGTTTTCTTGATTTAAAAAAAATATATATATATATATAAAAGAGAGGTATACTTTTCTTCTGATAGAACAATCCTAGGAGTGAGAGCATTAAAATTCGGACTTTACTTTTTCATATGCGTTTTTAGACCACTCAAATGTAATGTATGTTATCATATTTATTTATCTTTTATTCATCCACTATTTCAATTATTACAACCACGGAAAGCCTATAAAAAATGCGAACAAGAATTGCGAAATAGGCAGGAAAATGCACTAAACGTTTGAAAAAATAGGGAGAAAATAATGCCTTTAGACAAAAGGAGACATTTTTTCTTTATTCGCAAGAAAACTGTAAATTTTGATAAACTGGTTTCATAAAATGAAAGATTTGAGTAACGTTAAACCACAAAATGCTTCCTGATGTTTTCGTGCAGCCTTACCATTCGATTGTCTCGAAGAAAATCCATAAATGTACTAAACTTGCGCTTAACGTAAGCAGATAGCATGACTCAATAATACACGGTTAAATAATTTACAAGATTGCATTTACGAAAGACAGAGAAGGGGAAGAATGCAATCCCTTGTTGCGAAAATGGGAGTAGAAAAGTACGCAAAGCAGGCAATTAGGAGTGAAATTCCTTTTGTAAGTTCTAATGTATTTGCAGGAAATCTGGCATTTAAACGAAATATTGAACGAAATATGAATATATCTACATGAATTACGTAATTTATGTGCTATTTAGCTATATAAAAACTGCAAAAGGACTTAAAATTAAAATAAAACTACTTTGAGAATTATGTAAACAACCAATTTAAAAACAATTTATGTTTTCATCAGTTAAATGTGCTTCATATGCATATACAAATAAACAAATTGCACAAAGGCTCATACTTCTATTTCACAGCAAAGCTTCACTTTTTCCAAGTAAATTTGCAAAGAAGCAACACGGCGCCACTGCTAATGCCTTGGTTATAATGGACGGGGCGAATCGTAACAAATCGCGGCGAATTCGTAAGGATCTATTGATTTTAGATTGTTCCGTTTTACGTTACGTTTACGTGCATTATAACCATTTGCATTCATTTCCCATACAATAGATAATTAAGTGAAAGTTCACTCCGTTCCGTTACTTCCATTATAACCTAGGCATAAGGGAGCCGTGCGAGAGAGACAACTGTCAGTTTATCGAACCTTGTATTATTGAATCATGGGCTGATAGCATAAGTACAACCTAAAAAAAATATGGGGATCGATAAAAATCAATGGGGTGAGCATAAGGGTATATTGTACTTTTTGGCAAATCAAGAACTACAGGGTTATTTTTGTTTTTTAATAAATTTTAATTAATGCTCAGCTTGATCCTTAAAAATTGACGTAGTTGTTGTTTCCTAAACAATAAACCGTTATGCTCATATCAATGATTTCTATAGGCCCTTGATGTTTCCAAACTTTCGTAGGCCGCAAAAGTGGCTTTTCATTTTTCCAACCCAGTTTGGCAGTAGGTCCTGCTCTTCTATAAGCCGCTTCCGAATCTTCTCCGAAGTATTTAAATATTACTTACACCATTTTTTATATCCATTTTGTATATGGGCTTTAATTTTTAATATTAAATTTTTTTTTAACTTTCAAATAGGCTGAAATCTCTTAATTGACGGCAAAAAAGGTAAAAATCATCAAAAAGGTAAATCAAATGCCCATTATTGGAGTCAAGGTAAGCTAATTTTTTATCAAAACATATTAATCTCTTCTCTGAAAATCCATAAAGTCCATTCCCTGATTATAAAATTAGACTATTTTTAAATCACGGTGGCAGCTGAATGTTTCTCTTTCCTCGTTTACAAATATCAGCTGTTCATTTGACAGTTTATGTCTTAGGCCTAATGTCAGATGAGCTATTTAAGAAGATATTTTCGATTAACTTAAATTAGTTTTCGGATCATATGTTTAACTGCACTGAAAAATGGTCAATATTAGCTCTTGTGTCAAACAACAATCATCTCTTCGTCACAAAATGTAAGCAAACAAACAAATGCAACAACAATTTCAAGGAACCAGAAGCAGTGTTGCCACTTGTTTTACATATTTAAATACGGGTGATCGGAAATCCAACGAAAGTTAAATGGCATTTAAATAACAATCCAAAATTAAACTTAAGTGCCATTTAAATTTTTATCTGAAATAGACCCTTAGCGTTAATGTTAAGTGGCAATTTTACTAGTAGCTTACCTTAGATTTTCATTCATGTCCATATGCATGTACTTACATACAAAACATACATACATATATTTTAGGTATATCTACATATACCGGATTCGAAACTCGTATGTGACGAGATATCAAATTTATCCTAAGTCACCATGGTCCCTTATCAAGTAATTATGTCAATTGTAATCGTGATTGCAACGTATTTGATACCGTTTGAATTACGAATTTTCGCTCAAACCAAGCAACTAGCGCGTATTCCCATTTTGCCTTTCGCTACAACGTTTGCAAGGTCATCCGTTGAAGCTAAACAAATATCTCATAAAGCTTTGAAAAGAAACCTAAGCACAATCAACAAAGCTCACAAAACCTGTGGAACGTGTATGGGCGCAAATAATCAACATCTGAAAAAGCCAACGCTGTCATGGAGGAGGTTTGAACGATTGCCGGAACATCAGGGAAGAGTCAAAGGTTAGTGTGTAATTTTGTACACTTAATTTTTAACTGATGGCGTTTTCTTTTCTCGAAAAAAATGTCACCTTCTTATATGGCAACATAATCAGAGCGCAACATTTTAAAGAAAGAGCGCACAAAATGTATGTGAAGATACTAAGAAAAGGACATGAAAACTTGACAACCCTGGCGCAGGGCAGAATAAATGCAAAATTATTTCGAGAAAAGAAAACGCTATGACATTTAGCATATTGGGGATTGTTTTATGTAAAGTCGTTCGTAACAACCAAGAATATCATTGTTTTATTTAAAGTATTCAGCATATTGCATTTAAATGTGGATATCAATCAGCACAACTCAAAGAAAAGTTACATACAATTCACTGAGGTATAGACAAAAATTCTTTTAATACCGAGTCAACATTAACATCCAGATTGCCATGAATATTGAGAAAAGTTAGCCCATTGTGTGCTCGTTCTCTGCCCATCACTGTACATGTACGTTGATATTCATTGTAACTATAAATAATAGGAGAGCGAAGGGTATTATGGACCACATAAGGAAAAATTTCTGTAGACAAAAAGGAAATCTGAATTTGCCCTCATTTTTAATGGATAACACAGCCCAAAAAAAATAGAAACATATTTTGGTACGGTAAATTTAAAGCTGTTTTGGTAGACATTTTCGTACTGATTACGAATCCGTAAGCGAATCCATCGGCTCCAGATTTTGAAAAGAAAAACTAGGTCAAGGTGTCAAGAAATCGCGGTTTTTACAACGTTTTGGAAGCTAGCAAAGAAACAAAAGGTGATAGAACCTTCCTGGCTTAAATTAAAGCTGGAACTCTCGACTACTATCTCTGCAACTACCATTCCTCCACCTTGACTTGATGGTTACCTACTATGGTTGCCAGACGTACTGATTTTATCAGTACAGTACTGATTTTTTAACTCTCGTACGGATTTTTTTTCATTTCTTAAATCAGTACGCTAATGTCCTGATTTTTCAAAATTTGTACTGATTTGTACTGAATTTTCAATTCTGAGGATATAAATTTGTAATAGGGTTCTTCCTCCAAGCTTGATACTCGGTACCTACATATGTAGGTGTTCGGAAATTTTTCGTCATGTACTTATTTTGTTTGTGTAATATTATTTTACAGAAACAGAATACTTTGGGATTTTGTTAAGGTTTTACATAACGTTGGAACTTCCTTAACGTGCACTGTAAAAAGTTTCAGATGAAGTTTCGGATAATGTTTGATATGCGCGGTAAATTAATACAACAAAAAGAGCAGTCGTTTTATGGGTATATTGCTAGGTCGTTATGATGAAGTATAAAGAGGGCTAAAATTTTTTGTCGAGTGTTAACAACCTCGAAAATAACTTTCAGTTTAATAAAAACGAATTTGGAAAATTGAATGGCTTTTGCTTACAACTTACAATTCTTTTTTCTCAATTCACTGACATTGTAAATGGGTTTTGCATACAAGACATCGAGTTAGATACCCTTTTTAGCGAATTCTTAAGACTGGTTTTCACTATGTCATTCTTTGACGCCAAAATTTGGTGACATATTTTGACACAACTTTACCTCCTTTATCCGTACCTTTACCGATGATATTATGGGCCAAAAACAGAGAGATAGCCGATTTAGCAGCGCATGTACTCTACAGGACTAAAGACCTGTCCTGATCCAAATCAATCGATAAACCGCTTTTTAATCCCATTTGACAATGTGTTTTCACTTATTTGACGACAAATGCCACTGAATTTGCCAGAGTGAAAATCAGCCTTTAGTCTTTCAAAGTTTTTGCGTAGTTGAGAAAAAAATAATTTAAGATGAAGTCCTTAAATAGTGGTACGTTTTCACTGTTTGAAAAAATATTAATTTTTTTTTTTAATACCACACTCAAATGAAGCAACTGAGAGGATCTTAGGTATAAAGTTTACTTCCTGGCGCAAAGAGAGAAACCGACACAAATGTCATACATATAAAAGCTCTGATCCAATACTTTTCCTACTTGAATTTATTAGCTCTGATCTAATACTTTTCGTGTAAAATCCTGTAAAAATGTCAAACAGCAAAAACCAGTGATCGCTTGACACTTAACATGATTTTACCAGAAGAAAAAGTTCGGGTAAAATCTTGCAACTTCATTCTCTACACAACTCTCCAAAAATCGCTCTTATTTACAGGGTTTTTGGTGGAATTTGGAGCACGCGATCATTTTTCCTGTAACTTCCTGCAAGTTTGTGTAAAAACCTGTAAGTTCATGGAGTACTGGATCAGAGCTATTGGCTCATATGTACAAAATGTTAATGGACACGTTCAGAAGGCGTAACAGCTCAGTAACTGTTGCAATTGCATCTTTTGAACGCGTTGTTGTGAACATCTGATCAACTGAGCAGATGCGTGTTAGATGATCGTAATATTTTTCTGATCATTTGAGACAACATGTTGGTGTGTACCTATGAGAGTTGAATTTGACAACTAATGTATTAAGCCGATCAACGGTTGCTCTCAACTGCTGCGCCTTGTGAACATACCAAATGCGTAAACTCAAGTTAAAATCAATAATATTTGTAATTTTTATGAACTACATTTTATTTATATGTGACCTGGTCTACGGAAAGGGGGCTTAGGTGTCAAAAAATCAATTTTCACTTTTTGGTTGATTCGGATGGAAGATGAGATGCTTTTTCACGTGGTGAAAAGCAGAAAATCCTAACTTGCTTAGAAGTGTACTAAAAATGTAGAGAAAGAAGAGTAAAAATACGACAAAATATAATTTATTGGTAATGAACAAAATACATTGAATTATAAGCTATAAAGACATGATTATACACTAGAAAAACGTATTATGGGCCAAAAATAATAATGCTGAGTAGTTTATGTATTTTTCTTTGTTGTCGTTTTCCTTGAGATCTTTTTACGTGTTGATCCTGAGGAAGATGGACCTGGTTCCTCGTCTGGTTTGAGAACATCTTCACTAGTTTTTGCCTTCCGTTTCTTCGATGGCAAATCTTTCGGCAATGGAGCCACAATATCTACTTTAGATATATCCGAAACTAAGCTGCGAAGATTGTGATAGATGTACCACTGACGTTCCAAAGATAAACCGGCTGGTTGTATAACTTTCGGCATTTCAGGATCGATAGGTTTTAACAGAAGCTTAAAGGACTGCACTTCTTCACTGTCTGCGAATTTCTTTGTTTTTACACAATCTGTAGAGATTATGAAATGATGGAATTGCGTTATTCCAACAAGTGACTTGTACAGTGGTTTAAAATAGCTGTCCCATTCATACCAGACGACTTTTTCAGCCGATACAGCTTTATTATAACCCCCAGGTGATGATGCCTCGACACACTGCAGTAAATCTGCATACGTGTCGATGTTACTGACGGCATACTTACTTTTGAAAATACCGAAGTAACGATCAGGCGCGAACTTAGTGTGCCCGGTAAGTAGAAAATTGAATAAAATAGTTTTGTTAAGACCCCGAGCCAAACACCATTGCAGATATGATAGTACAGTGTTATTCTTATTCTGCCCAACACAATTGTCACAGAAAAGAACGAGTGTTTCAATGTCTTTATAGTAGGTTTGCAGGTGATAATGCAGGATGCTCACAACACAGTTAGGTCCTTTACCAACGTCATCTTTTTCGTCTATCATGTAATTGTACTGTAAAAAAAAAAAAATAAGTAAGATCCTGTAAAGGCGAGCAATTTGAGTTCCTATGATTCAGTTTGAAATTCTAACCTGAACTTTTTGTTTTTCGTCTGTAATTCCGAAGACTCCGCACTTCTTGGTTGCTTTGAAGTATGCTGTACCAGGTTGTTGTGGACTGACAGGGTAGTGAACGGTTTGGGCAAAATCAAATGACAGAACGACTGCTGTAGGGTCAGTATTTCTACACCAACTTTGATAATATTCTCGTTGATTTCGGGCTCGGTGGAGGTGATCAAGAAATTGATTAAGCTTCTGTGCGCGTTCAATGTCAGTAACACCTTTGGCTTGCGCAATCGATATTGTGTTTCCTATTAAAAGAAAAAATACTGAATTTAATCTCAACGTTTGATACAACTATAAAATGAGAAAATAATGAGCTACTTACCACGGCAGACATCGCAGAGATCATCCGCTGGTTTCATAACTGTAACATGGGGTATGTATTTGGACCATATCCGTCGAAAACTGCAATTACTCATCTTCAATTCGTCATCACTGAGTGAAGAAATGTATTTTCGATAAATTGAGGACTTCGTCTCGCTGGATGGCAGTTTCATTATCCGAAAATCCTTAAATTTTGGGAGTCGTCCGGGCAGTGGAAGAGCCATTAAATCGGCTATAGACTCGATGAATTTAACAGCTTTTTCGATGTCAGCCGGTTTAAATGACTTTGGATGTGTACTCGGTTTATTTGCCAGTCCGTGTTGGCGCACTGTTACACCCTGTGCGTGAAAATGACGTACTAAATTTTCGTAACGCTTCGTCGTACAGGCATGTACAAAAAGGAAAAACGAACGACAAACAGGTACTCTGTAGAAGGTAAATTGAATTCTATGCCTCATAACTTCTGTATCCTGTCTCTGTCCATATTTCTTCCGCCCAGCAAGCTTTGCGTATACACTTTCTAGCTTTTCGTTACTCATAATTCCAGCTTCGATGTGACTTAGTATCACTAAATCAAGTTCATTTTTCGACATCTCTAAACAATTGTTCCGCGTACTCTCGATCATTTCCCGTGGTATCAGTGTATGGCATTCATTATTACAACAATCTTTTGACAGAAATTTTGTTACCAGCTCCTCCTCCTTTACATCAACAACATACAGGTCCATCTTAACAAAAGTTTGTTCGGTATCATCTTCTGCCTGAGATACACATACTTCGTCTTCATCATCATCGCTCTCTTCATAGTTTTCATCATCGTTTTCATCATCCTTTTCATGGAAATATTGTCCGTATACGGCACTGAACTCCTCATCAACACTCATGTTTCATTTCATGCGAAATGCGAAGACGATAATCAACAGAAACAGTAAACGTCACTTCTTCAGTGTTACTTTTTTAAATGTTCCACACTAGCAACTTACACGATGAACTATAATAATATTCCGACCAACAACAACACTTACTGGACCAACAACAACACTTACTGGACCAACAACAACACTTACTGGACGTCCGGCGCGGAGAACAATTAACGAGATAATGAGAAACTGACGAAACGAGTTGCTTACTTTTAACAGCTTTTTCACAGAAAACTAGTTTTCGCACGTAAGCTCCCTTTTCGTAGACCAGGTCACATATACCAAAATATTGTTAAAAACAAGTACTCTAGCGTTCTAAATTATTTTCTGTTACTTAAACTCATAATTTTGCATTGAAAAAAAGTGTACTGAAAAGTACTGATTTTTATAGCATGACAAAGGCTAAGGTACTGATTTCGCGCATAAAAAATCTACCCTATTTCGGTTGCCAGACGTACTGATTTTATCAGTACAGTAATGATTTTTCAACTCTTGTACTGATTTTATTCATTTCTTCAATCAGTACGCTAATGTCCTGATTTTTCCAAATTTGTATTGATTTGTACTGAATTTTCAATTCAAACAAAAAACTTTAGGATTTTCTTAAGGTTTTTACATAACGCTGTAACTGTACTGTAAAAAGTAAGAACATGTTTCAGATAATGATTGATATGCCCAAGAAATTAATATAAAAAAATATCAATCGTTACAGACCAGTTGCGATAATAGGTTTGTTCCACAAGCTACTCGAAGTAACTTTGAGTTACACAAACGCGTTCCACAATTAAGTTTTAGAGTTTATTTGATATACGCTCACCATTTTGAACTTTGCTCGAGTTTTTCTAAAAGTAGCTTGTGGAACAAACTTTATATCGAGGGCTTATATTCAATACCCTCTATCCACAATTTTCACAAAAACAACTTTGTGATGTTAGAACCCATCAAGGTACCTTTCCACACTTTGAAAAAATATGTAATTTTGTTTTTTTCTTTGCAATACCACACTCAAACGAAGCAACTGAGAGGATCTTAAGCACAAAGCTTTCTTCCTGGCGCAAAGAAAGAAACCGGCTTCTAAATAAAAATTTTTAAATTGAACTTCATATTAAAAGTAATTTTAAAATGAAAAATATAGATTTCTTTGACTATTTAAACACTGAAGATGGAAATGATCTCATTATTGCTATTCAAAAATGTCGTAAATATAAAATACTGTGTATAATGATGTATACACTCATGTTAAAATGAATAACACTTTTCTTAGGAACTATATTTTATTTAGATACCAAAACATTGTTAAAAACAACTACTCTGGCGTTTTAAAGTATTATCTGATACTTACATTCATAATTTTGCTTTGAATAAAAATATACTGATTTTTTAGCATGAAAAAATCTAACGTACTGATTTCGCGCATAAAAATCTGGCAACCCTACAGCCGCCAAAGCAAACGCGTCACATATACATAATAACAACCCTTGTTAATATATTTAATATAGTTTGTGAACTATGAATATTATTGTAAATAAACTCATTATACATACTAAAAGTATACTAAACAAAAAGTTTGTGTCTCATTAATACCCGAATCGTAAACAACCTCTTTACAAAAAATGATACTTAGGGAAATTTTTGAAAAATGGGCGTGCCACCGCCCAATTTCGCCTACATATGTCTGTGTATCTCGGTACCCGGTTTATCAATTTCTACCAAACTCGGCACATTTAACAACCTTGCCACAAAAAAGCAATATGTTGAAAATTTTTGAAATCGGACTAAAATTACTGCCACTTACCATATAACGGTAAATTTCAGAAATACGAAAACTCCGATCTTTCAATAACTAAAGATGCCAACTTACAACAATATTTTAACAAGACACAAGATTATTGATTTTTGTTAGATTGGGTTGGCAACACCCACTTATGACTACATAGTATATATCGATAACCGCCTTACCGATTTCCACCAAATTTGGTCCAATTATTTCAATATATCATAGCATAGCATGAAACTGTTTGACATCGGGAAAAATACTTTTCCTTATCATGCAGTTTACTGCGGCGGGTATATAAAGTTCGGTTTCGCCCGAACTTGTACTTCTTTACTTGTTTCGACTTCGTTTGTGTGCAAGAGATTTATGAGGGGCTCAAAGATAGAACTAATTTTCTACTGACTCTAGTGACGACTCGCAGATCCCTACAAAAATCGTTGGACCATTAGTCCATTTGTGCCATATTGGAGTATGCACTTACAAAATGCTCCTCTGTAATGCAGTAGCGGACCTAGGGACGAAACGATACCTTGCAGATATCGATACTTTTACTTGGAAGTAATATCGAAAAAAGAATCGATGTCTGAACAAGTAAGAAAGTCTAAGTTCGGGCGGAGCCGAACATTAAATACCCGGCGCAAGTATTAAATATATGATTTTCACCTTTCCGAAAGCTACCACTACATGGTAAGCCGGGGTGTATCAATTTTGAGTAAATTAGCGTCCTCAAATTTCGAAATATTGACGTTTCAAGCATTTCTAAAATTTACCGTTATATGAAAAGCCATAATTTTAGTCCGATTTCAATAATTTTCATCGTTTTGCTTTTATGTAGCAAGTACAATAAAAATACCGAGTTTGGTACAAATTGGTAGAACGGTTACCGAGATACATATATGTGATCATAAGTGGGCGGTGCCACGCCCATTTTTCAAAATTTTATTATAGACGTATTTCCTGGTAAGGAATTGTTGCAAGCATCAATTTTAAATAAATTGGCTTTAATATTTACTGATTTATCGAAGATTTCGTATTTCTCCAAATTAACGTTATATGAGGTGTGGGCGTGGTTATTGTCTGATTTCAAAAATTTTCGGCCATGTGGTATCCTGTACCAAGGCCAATAACTGTGCCAAGTTTGGAAGAAATCGGTGCAGCGGTTGCCAAGATATACACATGTAACCATAAGTGGGCGTGGCTACGCCCATTTTCCAAAAATTTATAACATTCTTATTTTTCGTCTAAAAATTATTGTAAATATCAATTTTGAGTTAATAATCTTCAGTAGTTACTAAAATATCGCAGTTTTCGTATTTCTGAAAATTACCGTTATATGGGAGGTAGGCGTGGTTATTGTCCGATTTCGCCCATTTTCAATACCATCCGTCCTACGCCCAAAAGAAGTTCACGTACCAAGTTTCGTTAAGATATCTCAATTTTTACTCGAGTTATCGTGTGCACAGACGGACGGACGGACGGACGGACGGACGGACGGACGGACAGACAGTCACCGCTTAATCGATTTCTCTTTTCATTCTGATCATTTATGTATACATTTGTCTATATCTATCTCGATTCGTTTTGCCTGTTACAAACAACCGTTATGTGAACAAAGTTATAATACCCTTGTGCACAAGTGCGCTCGGGTATAAAAATATCGGACCTAATGTATCGATACCTCCTCGTATCGGTACTCCTTGTGTAGCACGTATTGAGTTAAATAAAGTTTTTTTAATCACAAGTCGGACGCTGTGGTGTAGTGGTAAGCAGTGCGCGATTCCACTCCGCTGCGCCCAGGTTCATGTTCTGGTCAAAGCAACATCGAAAAAAATACAGAAAAAAGGCAATGGCAAGCCTCCGAGTGTATTTATGGTTCTCATAAAAATACAATCACCGTTCGCAGCCGGCGTAGGTCCCTCCGCTTTGTGTGACAACATCAAGGCGCACGCCACAAACCGGATGAGAAGCTAGGCCAAACACTAACATATGTGTAATCGCCAATCTATTATACATATGTATATAATACGCGAAGGCATTTTTTGTGCAGTCTAAAACATCTGCACCGTTCGCTCGATTTTCAAAATTGGGGTGTCAAATTAAAGCGCTTGGCCTGTAGATGTGCAATAAGGTTTTATTTTGTCGAAAAGAGTTGCCACCTGTTAAATAATTGAACTCAAGTCGTTTGCTAATCAATGCCCTCAGATCCGCACCGTCCGTTTGATTTTCAAAATAGAGGTACCAAATTAAAGGGCTTAGAGTGTGGATGTTCAAAAAGGTTTTAGTTTTTCGAAAAAAGTTGCCACCTTTTAAGAAATTAAGTTCAAAATAATACGCGAAGGCATTTTTTGTTCTGCATAAAAGATCTGCACCGTTCGCTCGATTTTCAAAAGTGGGGTGCAAAATTAAAGCACTTGGCGTGTAGATGTGCAATAAAGCTTTATTTTTTCGAAAGGAATTGCCACCTGATAAAAAATTANGTTGCCACCTCTTAAAAAATTACGTTCAAGAAAATACCATTTTTTGTTCCGAATAAAAGATCTGGACCGTTCGTTCGATTTTCAAAAATGGGGTGCAAATTAAAGCGCTTGGCCTGTAGATGTGCCAACTGATTTTATT